AACAACTTTGTTGGAGGGGCAGGAACATAAATTGCGAGCTCTTTTTCTTCCTTCTTTGTGTTCAGCTGTGGAGGGCCCTCATCTTCAAACACCATTAAGGATTACTTAACAATGTGTGTTAGTCTTTTAACATAATACTCTCGGAGCTGTTGTACTGTTATTTAAAATTAATGATCCCTCATTTTAAGTAATTTGTTATACGGAGTACTTTTTTTGGATGACTTCAGTTATTTATTAAATCGTGAAAAAAAAAAATCGCTTGTTAAAAATTGGGTCTCACACTAACCAATAACCATTCTGAAAATTGTGTCATTTGTTTATGGAGCTAAAAAAGAGTACTAAGTAAATGATAGTGTGTGGATATTTTGAACCGACAAAATTTAGATGATCAGCCAAATTGAGAACTGATTTGGGCATACCAAAAATTAATTATGATATATCTATTGTAAAAGCACAGTTTTCTATGCTATCTTCACATGAAGGTGTGCCTGTGCCAATAGTAGTTCTTGGTGTGCCAAATTCAGTTCTCACCAGATTGATATGGAATGAAGGATTGAAGAGATATGCCATGCACCATAAATTTTTGGATGGGGTTATTTTATAATTCAGCAAATTCTAATCTAGCTTGTACATTTGCCCTCCTTTCAACAGGCACGTCGGAGAAACTAGAAGACCACCTGGCCGTACTTAGCACCGCCTCAGAATTGAACTGAGATGGTGGCTTAGTCAGTAAAGCTTCAAGACTAGTGTTAGAAAATCTATCTATTGTTGCAAAAGATTATATGATGGGTGGAATTTTCATTGTTTTTGTTCGTTATTATTTATAAATATATATAGGAAGTTGTCATTTTAAGTATGATTTATTTCCCATTTAGAAATTGAAATGTCATAAGAAGTGATTCCTTTGTTGTAAAGATTTGGTTTTTCTTTCAAATTATGAGATTTTACGTGTAAATTTAACTCGAGTTTTTTTATGGTTGCATGCATCGTATTTAGTTGTATTTTTATTTATTTATAATTTCAGCCTTTTTTGACGCTTTTGGTTGCATGAGTCGTCGGTGCTTTAGGGCAGCTTGTGCTCAACAGTCGTCAACAAAGGTGTATTTCTCCCCATTAGTTAAAAGTCTTTTTTGTTGTAAGGAAACTTTATTAAATGGTAACGTTCTCATTGAAATTCGCAATTGATGAGATTATTTTTGCTAGTGAAAAAAATGGTTTGATTATGCTCATGTAATTGGATGCTATTCATTTCATCAAAAAGTATTTTGATGTGAAACATTATGTTATGAAATTTAACTTAAATTAACACGGTATAAAACATTCAGTAATCATTGCATAAATACAAATAGGATTTGATTATAGATTTTGGGATAACAAGTAATAAGACATTCACAACTTGACTAATTTACATACTTGATTAACTATAAACATTATAAAATCCCTTTATTGTGTCAGTTGAAAGTCAAGATATGATAAGAGGTGTCAAAAACTAACCCGACTCAAATAGATCTGATTTATCTCGATAGTCACTTAGCCCAGGATTCGATATGCATAGTTGTAATAATTTACAAACTACCTTAATACAATTTCGACTAGACTCGACTTGAACCCTACCTAGTAACTTGAATTGACAGTTGATATGAATGGGAGAAACAAAATAATTTACTCCCTATTATTGTTAAAGGCCCTCAATTCTATAATCAATCTTTTATTTATTTTAAAGGAGGGTGATTTCAGTCCACTTTTACTGAGCTTTCCTTTTTCTAGTGATAAAAATTGGTTGTTCCAAGAAATGAAGATGAGAGGAGGAAGACTGGTCTAAAAAGCAAGATGAATGAGATTGATTATAAAGCCATTTTTGTTGCGAAAGGGAGACAATGCCTTAAACCCGTGCAGTTTTGATGATTGAACTACTAATTTGATTCGAGTGAATATTTGTAGATACTATTTCTCTGATTTGACGTTACTTCTTTCTTAAATTCTAGATGATTTTGATTGTTTTTTCTACCAGATTTTTAGGGAAGAACTTGCAATCATTAGTTTTATGTTACGTAACTTGCATTTAACAATAGGATGAAGTTTGATTTTTGCTAACACTTATGTAAGATTTTGTTTAACATTGAGAAGTACATAGTATTATACTCCCTCTGTCTATATTTTTTTGCCCTATTGGATTTTGCACGGTCTCTAAGACACGTCTTGTAATGCAAATAACTTTATTTCTATACGCGTAAAAATTACTCCGTATAAAAACTTGATATTAATAAAATATACAATTAGACAAATCCAACAAAACCCCACATGACTATATTACCTCTTATTGATTAATGGGAATTTATAGTCAAAGTTTTTAAAGTTTGACCCTGTTATTTGCAATGGGGCAAAAAGAATAGGGACGGAGGGAGTAGTATATAGGACACAATGTAGATAGTTTTAATTGTGTTTGAAATCTATCAACATATGATAATCTAGTTTTATCTCAAGGTATTGTTTGGTTGCATAAAAATAGTGAGGGAGCTTAAAGTTTATACATGCATAATAGTACACAAAATTATATCACTGTTTCATTAAGAGAGAGAAAATATACCACTTAACCCCAGATTTCTATGTGCATGCCAAATACATAGACTCTATGCGCCTAGATGCATTCGAGTCTTTAGGACATTAGGTGTGTCTTAGCAATAAATTTTAGAGAAACTCGATAAGTTGGAAGTACGCTGTAGCTTGCAAAATTCAGTCAAGAAAAGTGCAAAATTCATTTGGAAAAATTGTAGGCGTGTAGATTGCAAAATTCATTTGGTGGAGCATTCATGTGGGCTTTATCATAGTATATTTGTCCAAGCCCAATAAGCTCATGCCCCATCTATACTATATACTAAATTAATCTCCATAATTATCCCCAAAATACACGTATCATCACTTCATTAAAAATTTCCCCGCTAAAAAGTTTGTTACTTTTTTTTTTCCTGTTATTGAAAGAAGTTTGTTAAGTTTAACCTTATATTTTGTTTCAAAAAAAAAAAATAGTTTAGCTTTATATTTAGGGAAGGAAATGATGCACAACCATAATAATTTAAATAAAATTTAAAAGTGTAGTATAAAAAAATGTTACGTAATACTGTATACTATTACTTAATTGAGAATCAGAGTAAGCTTTAATATTACGAACAAGAATTTTTCTGTGTGGCCGGGGTTACTCGAGTTACTCGGTCATGGGTTAATCGAGTTGCAGGGGTTACTCGAGTTGCCAGGGTTACTCAAGTTACTCGGTCAGGGGTTACTCGAGTTACTCCTGACCGAATAACCCCTCAATTAACCCCTGACTGAGTAACCCCTCGAGTAATCCTTGACCGAACCCCTCAAGTAACCCCTGATCGAGTAACCCTTTAAGTAACCCCCGAACTTTCAAGTAACCTCTGACCGAACTCCTCAAGTAACCCCTGTCCGAGTATCCTTGATCGAACCCCTTAAGTAACCCCTGACCGAGTAACTCGAGTAATCCCTGACCGGGTAACTCAAGTAACCCCGGCCACACGGCTTGGCCAGCCACATATAAAAATTTGTGTATTACGAATACTAAAAATATTATTACTCTGTACTCTTTCCTTCTCACATTACTTATACTATAAAATATCTCAATACAATGTTTATTATAAGTTTTTTATGTTTTTTTAACAAACAATGATTTCATTTATACGTTTTTTAATAAACAAATAATGAAGTATTATTGTACTATAAAATCGTGCATAGCACGGGTTCTAAACTAGTTCTCATATATTTGGAGGAGAAAAGAGCCAACTTGCATGGATACATTTTATCAAAGTACTTTTTTTATAATTTTTATTTATTTATTTATTTATTTATTTATTTTATATATTTTTAAGAAATTTTATCAAAGTACCTTTTTCAGAACAATTTACATGACTTTAGGATCAAATCGGAGATAGTTTAGATAGTTTATACCTCTTATTCGAAATTATATAGGTTTTAATAGTCAGTTAGTCACTTGATTGAATTATAAAAAGTGTAATTATATAAGTCTAATTACTTGACTGAAATCAATACTGATCCTACTCAAAATCAAGAATGACACAACTTAAAGTTTATCCAACCCTATAATTATCCACCCTAAAGTAGACTCGGGTTTGAATTCACCTCCCATAAACTTATTCTAAACTTGACTTAAGACAACCTAAGTTCAAAATTGAATGGCGTTCGAGTTTAATAAAACTCAACAAAACCCAAATTAAAAATAAAACTCAACAAAACCCAAATTAAATTTGAATAGATAAATCTAGATTGATTCAATGTAACATGACAAGAATATAATTCAATTTGGTATGAAACAGATAAAACATGATCTCAATCAATTAATTAAAACAAATCGATACAGTAGATTTATGAAATAGATATAACATGACCTCTATACGGTAGATTTTACATAGATCAAGCCAATTTTAATGTAGGTCATGTTCAACAACTATGACACAAAGCAATTACTGAGTATTGATCCTAGTATCATAGGTTACCCAAAAAGTCACCTCCATTTCAATTATACAATCACCAATCTAGTTTGTGGGGAACTCATCTTGTGACTTTGATGTCATAAGTTTGAGCCGCACTAACTACAAAAAGCTTGGAAGTAAGGGGGTTCCCTTACCTCCCCCCTCTATTCTCAAGCGCTGACCTACGGAGCTGGGCTTGTTAAACCTGTGAAAGGTGCCGATTCAATAGGGTCCTTCATCTTACCTTAAGAAAATAAAATAAAATAAATTATACAATCGCTCACATTTTAATACGAGATATTGAATTAGATAATTTGGATCACATACTTGGATAAATCCTAATTCTTAATTGTCCTAATTTAAAATTAGCCTAATATAACCAGCGTGGCATGTAAACAATTCTACTAATTCCCATTCTTTCAAGTTTTAGCGCCTAAAAGGTTATAATCGTCAATCACATTACAACAAAGGGCTTAAACACGGCGTTTCAATCATCCAACAAATTAAAACGACGAAAAAATAACAAATTTACGCTTCACAAATAAATGACTTATCTCGTAAAATCAACCTCAAATAAAGGGTAAAACAGTAGTTTCAAACTAAATAGTACCAGTACAGTGAAAAAAGGGGGGAAACAACATTCTACACGACCTCACTTCACTACCCCCACTCACTCAACTCAAGAACTCAACCATCTTCCTTCAATGGGAGACGATTCTCAGGTATTTTTTTGTGCAATTCAAGTAGTAAAATCCTATAGTTTGTTATTTATCATTCTTCTTTAATCTCTATTTTGAAAAAAAAATTAAAAATTGTGAATTTTTGGTATCTAATTATGTAATAATGATCTGGGTTGCAGAATTTTCAACATCAAAATTAATTTTTGTTATTAATTTATGTCACCATTTCTATTTTTGGCTTTGGGTTTGAAATGATTTTGTTTGTTTTTAATTAGTTTGTTATCCAATTTCTGAGAATTTTGGTAGTAATCTTTATAATTTGTTACCCCTTTTTTTTTTTTTTAATAAATAGAATTTGTATTATTTGTTTGTTTGATCTTGGGTCTGAATGATTTATTTAGTTACTACATATATTGTTTGACATCCAGATTCTAATTTGTTGTTTAATTTATTTATTTTTGGATGAAATTTGGGTCTGAATTGGTGTAATGGGGTTGCAGATGAAAATTGAGGCATTGAAGAAAGTATATGCAGAAGTAATAGTGAACACTTCAAAAGAAGCAGCAGCAAGAGTTATGGTGGCAGAACGCAAAGCTCTTAGCTTTCAGCAGCAATTGGTTTCTTTGAAAGAGGACTCTCTTAATATGCTTCTTCGTTTAAAAGATCATTTTAATTCCATGGTAATATAATAATTCCTTATTTTGATTTTTAAATTGGTAAATTTTCTGTTTTTCTATATTTTATTGTGTGGATTATTGTTTTATTGAACTGGGTTTTGTTGGGTTTGAAGTTATATGGTTAAGAATTTAAATTTTTAAAATGTTTTTGTTTCTAGTGATTCTGTTTTCCCTATCTTTATGGGGTGGACTAATATTTTTGTAGTGTTTTTATTGAATTTTGTTGGGTTTCTATGATTTCTTTGCTTTTGGGAAAGGGGTTTGAAATTGCTGTGTTTATGAATTTCTGTTTGTATTGTTTGGAGTTGATATCATAGATATATTAAGGTACATTTTGGCGGATGAAGCAGTTGAATGAACAAAAATAAAATGAGGCACTTGGTGTAATTGGTATTATTAGATATGTATTAGTGTGGTGTTTATCTTTTAGGAAACTCTGTTTAGTGGATGCGCCTTTAATGCTAGAATTTCCCTTTTTGTGCTTATGATAGGTTGGAGTTTGGACTATTTTCAAAAATGTAATTAGGGATGTGTTAAAATGAAACTTTAGGCTCCAATATAATCAATTGGACCACTTATCTCATGTCCTTTTTGGACTGTACATTCGTGAATCTTGTAATAAGGAGCATCCTATTCTTCTTTTTATGGTATTGGATATAGTATGATCTACTTCCGTACTCAAACGTAATGACCATACTACTTCCTTACTCGAACGTAATGACCATACTACTTCCTTACTCGAACGTAATGACCTCAAAGGTATGGTCATTAATGGCTAAAGGTACTACTTGACAATGTGAGGCTCTTAGGTATGGTCTAGTAGTGATGGGCTTTGGCCTCAAAGCCTGTAACCTACCCAATTGGGTACTATGAAGTTTGCAAAGTTTTCATTTTTGGAGCAATCTGAGCTTCTAAGGGCATGGGCTACCAAACGATAGACAGGGTTCTCCCATCATTTGGGTTCTTTGTCTTTCTAGAGCAGAATAAAGTGACTTGTAGGTTCATTCACATTGATGCTCAACCTAATACAATGTTTATGTAATTTTGCTAATGTATATACTGCGGAAGTAGTGTGAAATACTTTTGGCATCTTTTGTAAAACTTGTCATGACTGACTCATTATCTATGTAGAAGGGTCTAGGAATCTGCTAAACCTATTGTTTTCTCCATTAATTTTGCAATATAATTATGTAAGCTATACCAAATCTCTTTTTATTAAGATAGAACAATTAAAATCTAGCATCAAAATTGTCATATTCTCAACACCTTTAGAAAGGCTCCTACCTGCGAAGGGTAAGGAATATCAGATATTGGAGAAATTATTTCCATCAGACCTTTTATCTAAATGCTATTCACATCTTGACCATACTTCCAATAAACAAGAAGCACAGATATAGTAAAGAGATTTTGAAAAACTTAGTGTAGCTTGAGAGTTATTTTTTCCTCATGACAATAGAAACTGGTAGCATTAAATTCAATCAATTGGATGATTTAGTTCATTATAATTGCGAAGGTGGTACTCTTGTAGCAACAGCATGTTGATTCAATTTGCAAGGGGTTTATATTAATAGGAAAATAACAATGCATCTTAATGAAATTTAAGGAAATTTAAGAGAATCAGATTATTAAAAAAAACTTCATATGAGAAAGTCATTAGACTCACTGCGTCCCAGGAATGATTAACAGATATTATGAATGAAATGTTGGGTGCACACAGCTTCATATCAATGTCAATCTGACTATGAGTAATTCAAAACTGTAGATTAGTGGAACTGGATTGGTAGTTTATCATCTGGTACCTGTGGAGAACAATGTATAGTTGCCTTAATAGTCATGAAGGTTCAAATTCTGTGTTAGAAGGATTTGGCTTTGATATAGGTAGGATTGATGTTATGGTTTGCTGTTAAATGCTAATTTTTCAATGAAGCACGTTTTGACTTTCAGCTACGTTGTCATGCAAGCTACACCTAGACATCCACTAGCATCTTATTAAGCTTGTCCTTAGTTATATTATTACTGAACTGATCTGAAATATACTGTTTAATGTTTTCCTGAGATGATTTGTGATTGTATTAGGAGTGAGGAGTTGATAGAAAAAATACTTATTTTTGCAGCTTATAGAGGCAGAAGCTAGATCTTTGAAACAAGAAATGAAAATCGAAGAGCTTGAAGCACAGCTCTGCGAGGCTGAGGGAATCATTGTAGATCTCAGGGATGAGTTCAATCAAGTACAGGAGCAATTGGAGATCATGAGGCAAACCCAGGAAAAGCCTCTGAGTAATAATCATATCCTTGTAACCAATGAGCCTGTTCAAGAATATGCGCCTCAAGATAATGTTCCTCATTCTTTCATATCCCAGGTCTCAGATACAAATTCTGTATTGGTAGATAATGAGAAGAAAGCTGTGTCTCTACAAACAACAGCACTTAATTATAGGTTTTTTAAAGACATGAATGATGCTGACCTATCTGCTAGTTCACATTTGAATCAACTTCATGCTAATGATGATTGTAGTTCCATCATAATGCAAAATAGGGAAACTGATTTATGCAGAAATGGATCAACACAAAGGATATGCGCATTTCAAGGAAACTTGCCAAATGTAATGCTGCCTAGTTCACAATCTGAAGATCCAAAAATTTTGCTAAACATTCAGTCAACAGCCAATGCAGAGGAAACATTGTTTCGCAGGCAGCATGAAAATGATAGTGTTAGCATTTTTTCCAAGACTAATCAGAGTAATGTCAAGAATATTCCATTGAGACAGTTATCACAGCATAGCAGCTGTTACAAAGACCAAGCTGTCAAATCTCTTCGCAGATCTACTCGAAAAAATGCCAAATACAGGGAAGCAATTGCTTCCTTGCAGGGTTCTCGTAAAAAGTTTGAAAAAACACGATTGCAGCATTTTCATGGTCCATTGAAGCGATGTACCAGTGTTGTGAATGTGCCTGTTGAGTTCCCAATGGGCGTAGTTGAAATGGATCCTAAGAAGATTAAGGTTTGTTGTGTGTCAGAATCTGATGACTTGAACTTGGGCTGTAATTTTGAGAATGTAGCATGTGCTGGAGAAGGAAATGGTGCAGAAACCAGAGAGGATTCATGGGATAAATCACATACTGTTACTGATGGTGCATTACAGGATTCAGTGCTGGTTGATGTGCCTATTGCAAAAGGATCTGGCAGCAGTATTTGTCAATTACTCAAGAATGTGGTGTGTGCTGAAGAAGGAAATGGTACACATACAAAATTGGCTTTAATTGACAAGTCCCATACTATTCCTGCCCTAAAGGATTCATTGCTGGTTGATGTGCCTATCTTGGAAGAATTTGGTAGCAGTCACAGTCCGTTAGCTGGGAGAGACAGAGTTCTAAAATTTACATTCCATAGAAAGCGCCGAAAGACTGTTTTGGGAAAATTGATGAGAACATCCTTCATGATAGGGACACACCAAAGAGGGGATTAGAGTATCCAACTGATGTTGCTGTGATGGAAAATGGTATTTCTAAGATGAAATGCATGTAGATAGTGGGAAAATGAAGTAAGTTGCTCATCTGGTTTTCTTTACCCTCTTTCAAGTGAAATTCCATGTCTGCTTTATTCAGATTATCCCTTATTCTACATTTATTGTGTAGCTGTGTAGGTTTTCCATGTTTGTTAAAATTTTTATGATACATTATGTCTGGATAATTGATGCATCTTGGTTAGCAAAGTAATTATTTCTACTCGGAACCTAAACTGAGTTAAGTTGAGGAGACTTGGGTGCAGCTTGAAAAGCTCATACATAGCTCAACCTTATTATTTATAAAATTTCTCATAAGAAGCTTGTGTCAGTGTGTCTGTAATTCCGTTAATGTTAGTAAAGGATACCAATGTATCCACAATAATTTAGCTCTATGAATGTTGTGGCAAGGAGTAGAACTAACTTGATTGCAACTTATTTCTTGAGCTTGGCTCAAGCTTGAGTTATCTGAGCTTGGCAAGCTCCATTCAAGTTATATGACCTGAATGGAGTCTAATGTTTTCAGGATTAACATGAATTAGGATCTGAGCTGTCAAGCTAAGCTGAGCTAGCAAGCCAACTCAATCTTGCTCGGCCTACTATGAATCTATATCTTGACATTGATAAGTTTAGCATGCATTTTTTTTAATGATATTTGGCTTCATTCTTTGGTCTTCATTCTTATTTATTTTGCAGCTTATATAGTTTACTGGAACGAGGTGTTGATGGACATAGCAAACATAGGAGTACTGATCCATGACTGGCAGATGTAAATTCTCTCTCTTGCCTTTTCTTACTTCAGTTTCTTGAAGGAACAGCCAAGGCTTACTGTCTTACTGAGGTCTTGAAGAACTTTATATGGCTGTGGACAGATTTAGCAATCCTTGATGTTATTTCAAACTTTTTTTAGTGGTAGCTCTATGAGTAGTAACTGAGCCCCTTACTAGTGTTACTACTTGTTTCAACTCACAAAGCGGCAATTGATGAATTCTTAGATTGTAAAGCAGCTTATACAGTGTCTAATCTGTCTTTTTGTCTTTCCTGTCAAGAAGTGATCTTTCATGTTAATTAATGTGAAACATATAAAAGATTAATTAGATTAAATAGTTTTACAAAGCTTATAGTATACAAAAATGTATATTACTTCATGTCTTTATCTTTACCTCTATACATTCCTTATACTCAATTGACCATATTGGTATAAAAGTTAACACCCTTATGACAGATTGATATATAAGTTAAAAAATTGTGACATTTACCCCTATTTTCTCGTCGGATGAAAGTGCGTGTTGTATACTATGTTTTCAACAATTTAATTACTTTTGCAATCTTATTTATTACCAAAATATACTTATTCCACACAAAATAATAATTTTTCCCTCTTTCCTCCCACCTAAGATTATCAATAATTATTTCTTCTATTTTCTTTCTTATACAAAAAAAAAAAAAAAAAAAAAAATCAACAATTTATGTTATGAATAGTTATATCATCTTAGATTAAATTACACCATTGAATAAGCATTAGTAAAAAGAATTAAATTAAATACAATAACTTTGATAAATCAATCAAACGATAAAACCCCAAAGAACTAAACAATAAAAACCCTAAACAACTAAAAAGATAAAACAAAATCTCAATATTTTTAGGTATTTAATTTAAAAATCAATTGCTTAGTTGACCCTAACTTTCATTATCACATCATTTGTTTAATTATACCCACAACTAATTTGTAAATCAAGAGTATAATAAGAAGAAGAAAAAAAAAAGGCAAAATTACAATAATTGACATCAACTTTGTGAAGTTTTGCAATTATTGATACCAACTTATATCACTTGTTAAACTGACACCAACTTGCTACAAAAATTACAAAATTGACATAAATGACACTGAACAATTAATTTTACATAACTTTCAACCCTTGTACAAGTATAAAATTCCTTTTCAACAGCCATTTGCTTTAAAAAGTTCTTAATGTGTTAGAAAGATAAGACTATATAGATGTCATATGTAGAGTATTATTGAATGTTTATTGCCTTTAATGTCAATTTTATTCTTTTTTGGGCAAGTTGGTGTCAAGTTAACAAGTGACACAAGTTCGTGTCAATATTTGCAACATACTCTTAAGTTGGTGCCAATGAGTGTAATTTTGCCAAAATAGAGTGTTTAAAATAAATAAATAAATAAAAATAAAATCTACCTTTGTCATGCTTCAATGACCAACTCCCTCAATTCAAGCTTATATCCCTTTGCACAAGCTTTCCTATTCGTTTTCCCCTAGCTTCTTTCTCACTTTTGGCTTTTTTTTTTTTTTTTTTTTTTTTTTTTGTGGATTTTTACTTCATAATCTTTTTAAATTAATATAAAAAGTAGAGAAAAGAAGAAAAATATGTCAGATAAAAGTTTTTAGCACTGTAAATACGTGCGTGTACCGTACGCATATCCTCCGACGAGAAAATAAGGGTAAATGTCGCAACTTGTTAACTTAAACTTGTATACCAATATGTCGCTACATGTTAACTTTTATACTAATCTGTCGCTGGCAATAACTTTTATACCAATCTGTCACAAGGGTGTTAACTTTTATACCAATATGGTGAATTTGGCCTACTGTACTGCAAATGTTAATAACCCTTTTTTGCCCCTCCCCCCTCTCTCTTCAATTCAGCCATTACGACTACCACTGCATTAGCGGCACCAGACCACAGCCACCATCACAACCCCTCTCTCCTCACTTGACTAAACTGCATGTCTGCACCACCATATCATAGCCGCTACTACCTATTCTCTCTCCTTCCTGACTTCGGACACTAACACCCCACCTCCCACTACTGTCACTGCTTTATCTTCTTGCTTCCTTTTTCTCTACCAAGGTGTCGATGGAGAATAATATAATTTTGGAAAAGTTTTAGAAAAATTGATGTATGTTGGTCATTTTGTAAGAAAAAAACTTTGCACTTTAGGACCTTAAATAACTTTAAATGTTTGTTAAACAAGATCATTATCCGGATTCCGCCCGTTAATCACCACTTTTCGGCCAAAACCATCACATGAGTGGCACGTCCGTACTTGCACTTTAACAAATGAACCATCCACTTTATCATATTTACTCTAATTAGTGCAACATACTTGTATTTGTTATATTCTAAGACAGATTAAGGCCCCTTCATCAGTATTTAGGCTCTATAACAGGTTGCAACAGCTAATGCCCGTGCCTACATGGAATGGATGGAGTCATTATATTTTTGTTACAAGTCTCTAAGCTAAGGTCATTACATTGCAGTCACCCAAGAAATCTAAATGAAGGGAACTGCTCGTAGCTAGGTTGAAGTGTCCAAAACTAACCCGATCAATCCGATCCTACACCAATCGTAAAAACTAAAATCAGATTTCAACTTTTACAGACAATAATAATTTAACATGACTCAATTCTAAAAATAGCCTAATTCGATCTGATCTTACCGAACTCGACCCAGACACCCTTGACACCTCTAAGGCCCCCTTCATTTGAGCTTCTGGGCAGAGTAGAGTAGGACAAAGCAGAAGAGCAGAACATAGCAGATTTCAGCAGAGCAAGGCAGAGCAGATTTCATTATTATTATTATTATTATTATTTGATTTTTTTAGGTTTTTTTTACTCTTTTTATAACATTAGAAAATGTGTTAAATAATATAAATATTAATTATTGTCATTAATTATTAGTTATTATTATCAATTATTGTTATCAATTATTATTATTATATATTAATTATTATTATAAAATATTAATTATTATTATTGTAAAATATTAATTATTATTATTTATAAATATTAGTTATTATTAATAAATATTAATAATTTTTATTTTTATTAATTATTATTATTATTATTTTTAATCAGGCAGAGCCGCTCAAAAGAACAGGGCTTAAGCTGGGATAGAGGAAAAGAACAGAAAATACAAAAAGGTGGGAAAACCAACACAATGAGACAGCTAAGAAAAAATAAGGAAGCGCAATGATAACAAAAGAAGAGCAATTTTTTTTTTTTTTTTTTTTTTTTTTTTTACGGGAAGAAGAGCATATTTAAAAACAAAAAGTAGAGTAAATGAGTGGAGGAGTGTGTTTTTGTGTCTCCCAAAATAAGCTGCACAAATCGCCATCTCACTCTCTGGCTTCCCTTGATCATTACGGCTCACTGCCATCTTCCAACATTCTTTTCTTACTTTCTCTTACACTTTGTTCAATTCAACTTGTACATTTCTTCAAGAACTATTTTACAAATACTACTTGGTATTTGATATTTCAATGTCATGCTCATCCCACTTTTTTATATTAGCATGTTAAAGTTGTGAAGTTTTGTCACGTCCAACCAACCTTAGTGCCTTCAACATTTTGTTGCAACATTGTCTTCACATATACTTGTATTTAAAAGATGCTTGGATGCATATATGGCATATGCTATGAAAATTCAATAATGAATAAAGATGGATAGATTAATCAAATCATGTTGATTCATAATAAGTTTGCATTACGATAACATGAATTTGACTTTTAATAACCAAAGTTTTAGGCCCTGTTTGACAATGAGAGGTTAGTTGTTAGCTTTCAGCTAATAACTGTTCGTATAAGCTGATTTGACTAATCAATGCTTATATTAGTAGTTTATGTAAAAATGTTAAAAAAGAAGAAGTTATTAGCTAATAGTTACTTTATTGTATAAAATGACTAATAACGATATATGTATTACTTGTGAATTTACAATGATACCTAGAATTCATCACTTGTAGAAGCATAATTTAGCATTTTTTAATGATTTGAAAATTTTAAATCTAACACTTCAAAATTGATAAATGATGACTATCGATTAAAACTAAATTTTAATATAGTTTGATACGAATTCAAACTAATAATTAGAATGACATTTCGAATTTCAATATAATTAACTAACCATAAAAAATGGTGCCTTATTATTGTGAGCATGTGCAAATAAAAAAAACAATTTTGGTAAGCATGCTCATTACTCACTACTTATATACTCTCTACTTCATCCTAGGTCAGGTAGATTCCATGTATCATTTCACTCTTCCCCTGCCTTATAAAAGAACCTACAAACATTTACACACCACCTTTTAAGCTTATTTGCCCAAGTAAAAAAAATAAGTGTTGGTTCTTTTATCATTTTCTCTATATTTTTGAATTACAAAAACAAATGGATAGGAAAGTTTTAGTAGAGGAAAAACATTTACACACTGCCATATTCACAATGGTAATTGCCTTGTTAATGCTTTGCTTTCGACGCGCTGTGGTGGTGTCTTTGGTAGAGCAATGGCGTGCTCGTATATTTCTTCTCTTGAACCTAGTGTTGCTGGCCGTTTTATTCACATCTCTTCACTTCAGTACAGGGTCAAGCGACAACAATCAGCAAGATGATAGCAATGTAGATGGGAAAATCGTGACTAAACAAAAATCCGATGTAGTAACTACAAGTGTTAGTACTACTTGTAATGGTCAAAGTTGTAAATTGACACGTAAGAAGACAACAAGCAATGTTGTTGTTAATAGTAAGGTGGAAAAAGATGTGGAGTTGTCAGAAGAAGAGCTTAATAGAAGAGTTGAAGCATTTATTGCTATGTTTAAACAGCAGTTGATCTCTGATTCTAAGAGAAGAACGAGAGATGTTTCTGCTAGTAAATCTCGAGGATCCACGAAGCAACTTTTTGATTAGCGGATACAAATTTCATCACACACCCGAGTGTAATTTTACGCTTTCTCACATCTCCTGACCTCGATGAGCAAACAATTTTATTTTTAAAATAATCAATTTTTTTTTCCCCTTTTCCCTTTTTTTTTATGCCTGCCATTTTTTTTAGTGAAATATTAGTAATTTTGGCTTAGTTTGGCTCATTTCATTCGCAAAAACATGAGAAAAATAATGTATAGTACGTGAAGGAATCTCTCTTTCTCATCAAGTTTTTTTTTTTAATCTATGAACTGTTGTAAGTTTGTAACTTAATTGTATGGTGGAGTGCTCCCTCCATTTCTTGATTAATTAAGGCTATAATTTCTGTATTGATTTATACTAATTTTCTAATTGATTGTCTTATACTACCTCATATAATTGTTAGGATTAGTGTGGAGATGTTACAATGCATGGAGGCATAAGGTGAGAAGCTAGAAGCTGCTATTGGTTGTGAGTTCGATCGAACAAGAAGAAGTTCGGCCAAACTTGTGAAAAGTTCGGCCGAACTAGCATGGGTCTGATCGAACCATGTTTTGAGGTAGTAGCAACAACACTTCCATTTTCTAGCATAGGTACGACCGAACCTTAAGGGAGTTCGATCGGACCGCCCTAGGTTCGACCGAACTCTGGGTAGGTTTGGTCGAACCCCTGCTGCTCTGTTTCTTCAGGGCGATTTCAGCCCCTGTGCTTGATTAATTTCTAGCCCTTGGATTGTCATTTAATACCTAGACTATATATAGTTTTACTAAGCCTCTTATATATGAATTCACAAAATATAAACACATAGAGAGGGTTTATGAGAGATTTGTGAGGAGCATTTGAATGTCATACCATTCATGCTTGTAATTTTGATTTCATTCATACTACTTCATAGTGCAAAGGGTGGGTTTTTTCTCCCGGTTCTCAGGTTTTCCCACGGTAACATTGTCTCCCTTTTTTTTTTTACTTGCTTTAATTTCTTCATGGTTGTTCTTAGTTGTTGTGCTTGTTTGTTCTTCATTGTTGTGGGTTGATTGCAATTAGTTTGAGCCCTTAATCCTTTCAATTGGTATCAGAGCCAGGTTTAATCTTTGGTGTTTTAGTGATTTAGGGTTTGTGTTAAACTTGAATTTGTGATTGAGTTACAAAGTTTGGGTCTTTAGGTGTTCAAAGTTTGAATCTTGGGTGTCAAGTTGCATTCTTTGTTGTTGAAAACCAACTGTGAACTTTGTGTGTTTGATTTGCAATGGAAGAAGGCAAGTTGAGAATTGAGAAGTTTGATGGGAAGGATTTTGGGTTTTGGAAGATGCAAATAGAGGACTATTTGTATCAAAAGAACCTATATTTGCCCCTTACTAGTAAACCATCGGGTATGAAGGAAGATGAGTGGAAAGTATTGGATAGACAAGCTCTTGGAGTGATTAGATTGACATTGGCAAAGAGTGTTGCTTACAATGAAAAAGATATGCCAACGACGATTGGTGTGATCAAAGCATTGTCCAATATGTATAAGAAGCCATCGGCTATGAACAAGGTGTTCTTGATGCGTCGTTTGTTTGAAATTGAGATGAATGATAGTGGTTGCCCCCTCCCCTTCCATTTGCTCAATGGGGGATGGATATCTTGGGGCCATTTCCAGATGCTTCGTATCAGAAAAGATGGATGATAGTCGGCATTGACTATTTCAGCAAATGGATCGAGGCCAAGGCAGCCTCGAACATCACATAGCAAACTGTCAGAAAATTCATCTTATAGAATATTATCACTCGCTCGGAATTCCGAAGGTCTTTGTCTTCGATCATGGGAGGCAATTTGACAATCTGTCGCAGAGGCGGTACACTGACCAATTCGGCATCAAGCTAGCCTATTTTGCGATTTGACATTCGTAAAGTAACGGTTAAGCCAAAGCAGCAAACAAGCAGATTCTTGACGCACTCAATAAGAGGGTTGAGGATCAAAAGTCCAAGTGGATAGAGGAACTCCCTGGAACCCTCTGGTCACTTAGGACAACTGAAAAAGAGGCTACGGGACATTCACCATTTGAGCTGGTGTATGGATCCCAAACTGTTCTTCTAGTGGAAATTGTCACAGAAAGTCTACGGGAGCACCACTTCTCAGCCGAAGGAAATGAACAACTCCTGAAAGAATCCCTCGATTTTCTAGATAAGGTCAGAGATTCGGCTCAAGACAGAATGGCTGCATACAAACAAAGAATCATCAAGTCCTACAACCGAAGGGTCAATGCAAGACCACTCAAAATTGGGGACTTGGTTCTTCGGAATACTGCAACAGTGCAAAAAAGCCACATTAATGGGAAGCTCTCAGCCACTTGGGAGGGACCCTATGAAATTTATGATGAACTTCAGCCTGGAACCTACTGACTTCGCCAGTTAGATGGAACCGAACTGAAGAACCACTGGAACGCTGATGTACTAAAAAAATTTCATGTGTAAACTCTTCGGGGAAAAACAATCTATGTAAGTGCATCTTTTAAAATTAATGAAAGGCCTCCGAGCCACCATTCTTATCAAATTTACAAGTTTCTATTTTCTGTCTTCTGTTGCGTACAAACAAAGAATCATCAAGTTCTACAACCGAAGGGTCAATGCAAGACCACTCAAAATTGGGGACTTGGCTCTTCGGAATGCTGCAGCAGTGCAAAAAAGCCGCATTCATGGGAAGCTCTCAGCCACTTGGGAGGGACCCTATGAAATTTATGATGAACTTCAGCCTGGAACCTACCGACTTCGCCAGTTAGATGGAACCGAACTGAAGAACCACTGGAACGCTGATGTACTAAAAAAATTTCATGTGTAAACTCTTCGGGGAAATACAATCTATGTAAGTGCATCTTTTATAATTAATGAAAGGCCTCCGAGCCACCATTCTTATCAAATTTAAAAGTTTCTATTTTCTGTCTTCTGTGTTTTTTGAAAAGGGTTTCTCTTCGGCACTATCTGAAGTATAGACCAATAGTGGCATCATACTTCGGATTGCCGCTAAACCTGCCCAACAGGGAACAACGATTTCACAACCGAAGTATAGCCATATGAAGGCACGGTACTTCGGATAAATCAGTTCCTTGGGGCAAAGAGGCCGTGGACAAATCTGAAGCATAGCCAAACACTGGTATTGTGCTTCAGATGAATTATATCCGAGGCATTGCCAAGCACTGGCATTGTGCTTTGGATAGTCATTCCCTCGAAAAATTTAAAGGATCGAGAGAATACTGTTCTCGAGGTTTAAGACTTCTGAGCAAAGAACTCATAGATTCTTCAAATAAAAAGAGGAAGAGAAAAGAAAATAGCAAAAACTTTAAAATTTTGCTTAGTACAAGGTCAAGCAAAGCAAGACTTCGTCTGCACTAGTAAAACCAAGCAAACACCTTAAAAATCCGAAGACTAACACTTCAGATTTCTGGTGGGCAAGAAGTACTCAGCCCAGTCTTACTTTTCCAGCAAGTGGGGACCAAATAGGTCCAAGCCGAAGCTCAACACTTAGAAATTTTTTGCAAAATTAATAAAGAGAGCAAAGTGCAAGACTAAGTGAAAAAAAGGCAAAGCAGCTGGGAAAGAAAGCAAGGCATTCAAAGCAGCAAATTATGCTCGGATCATAGAGGTACATCAAATCAAGTTCAGAAAATTCAAGAAAACCAAATACGAATCGGCAGCCGTCCACAAGCCGGATAAAAGCAGCTGCCGAACTAAGTACAACTACTCAAAGACAAAAATAGAGAGTTTGTACGTAAAGGCAAGCTGAAGCAAAAAGGTACAAGAGGCAAAACAGATGCGACATATTTTGAAATTAAGAGCAAGTTGATCCGCAAGATTTCGTAGACGACTGCCCGAGTTCCTATGCTTCAGCATTCACATGATCAGGCGAAGCAGCTACACCTTGTCCATCAGAAGCTTCGGCAGTAGCAGAGGATGAAGCAAGATGAGCAAAGGCCTTCTCGGCTTCCACCTTTTGGGTTGTCGATCTCAGCCTGGCTGGGGCTCACCATATGTACATCCGTAGCATCCGAGGCCCAAATTTCTGCTTGATCCCAATCGATGCTCGGTTCAGCATGAAAGGCGAGTCACCGAGCTACGTTAAAGCCATTTTTGTAGCCCTTGACATACTCAACCTCGGTGTAAATCCACACCTTCAGCAGTTTCTAAGCCTTTTCAAGCTCAGTCTGAGTGTTAGAGGATTCTTCTCGCTGCGCTTTCAGTTGATCCTAAAGTCGCTGAATTTCATTTTTTAGATCAGTCTTCTTCTTCAACGACTCCTGCTTAGCTGTAATAGATTTCTGTCGGAAGTCCTCAGCCATTTTATCTTTCTCGCTTTCAAGCTCTCGGATTTGAGACTCAAGGCCAAGGATCTCCTTGACTTTTTACTTCCTCAGCAGTTATGCTTCCTGATCCATGAGTGGGTACATATTCTTCTTCAAGTCTTGGAGGACAATGTTAGCATTCGTCTAGAGATCCTTCATGTCAGCCCTGACCGTTGCGGCCTATTCTTCGGCGACACTAGCTCTGAGTCCAACAAGGTTAGCTTGAACTTCGACCTCTTCATGTTTGAGCCTCATCTCCTCGTTCATTTCCACAGCTAGAGTGTGGTTCTGAACAGCCTACAGAGGTTAGAAAACAATCAGTCAAAGTAAAAGAGTTGCAACAAAAAAAAAAAAAAAAATCTTAAGTAAAAATGCGTAAGTGCAAGAGACTTTACCTGCATCAACAACCTCTGAGTCTCAGCAAAAGGGTCAGACACCCTTACGCTGGGCTCGTCTATCCTAGCAGTGGCCTTAAGAGACCTAGTCTTGGCTCTCTCCAGCTCGGGCAGGCCAAAGAAGTCGCCGAAGAACGAGACAGCCGAATCTCGATGCGACTAAAGGATGTTCCAGGTACTGTTGGGAACATGAAGTAGTGGAGCCGATTCAAACCCCATGTTTGCAGGCTGGAAGGTTCGGAAGGATTTGTCCACAAAAGTTGAGGGCACACGTCGCCCTTCATAGCCTCAGCTCCCTTCTTAGTCTCAGCACCCTCTAAGGTTTCAACATCGAAACCCTCGGGCTTCCCGTCCAAGATCTGCACCCCTCCTTCAGGATGGACTATCAAGTTATCCAGGGAATCAGCTTCTTGCCGGATCTCATTCGCAAAAGGCTCAACCAGATGTCGTGGAGATGGAGGAGGAGTCAGACATCTGGATTGAACCTCCTGAGCCTTAACCAGCGGCTCAGAAGGAGGAATCTGATCCTCGGCTTTCTCCTCAGCCTTCTCTTCAGCAGGCCCGGGAGGAACGATCTACTATTCCAACTTCTCCTCCTCTATCCGAGGCTTCTTAGCAGGCACAGGAGCAGCCTGAAATTGCCCTGGCCCGATAATAGCCCTCCGCTTCGGCCTGGTCATTTCTTCGCCTGAGGATACCTCCTGGACAGTTTCAGCAGGTTCGTCCTTGTTCTCTTCTTCCTCTTTTTTTTTTTTTTGAATAGTAAAAATATTTCATTAATTAATAGTCGTACGACATCTACAATAATTAATTTTCTCGTCCGACTGTAGAAGAAGGAACAAGGGGGAAAAGAACCGTACAAGTACAAAAAAAAAAAAAAAAACAACAACAACAACAAATGAGTCAAGTTTGAAAGCTCACCGAAGTCTTGAGTAGACGCTCGTCTTTGTCTTCTTCCTCTTAAACTCCTTGAGCAGTTGTATCGGTTTGCAGGAGTTCTGGCTGCAGAAGAAGCACGGGCTGCAGCGGCTTGCTCTTCGGTAGTCAAAATAAAGTAAGGATCACTATTCTCCCACCAAGGTTTATACGATTGATACTCAGCCGCAGTGACTATCTGAAACCTCTTCTCGTACAAGCTGAGAGGCCAGTCCTTTGAATATGTGATCTTGGGAGTGTTGGTGATCGGATTCCTATCCTGAGTGATCCCGAGCAACTCATAATTAATGCTAGAATTCTCTTCGTACAACACTGAAAAGAAAAAAAAAAACAATTGGCTTCGCCGAAGAAAATAGGCATAAAAAAACCAAAAGAAACAAAAAAGGAAATAATAAAGCCCTCGGCCCTAGTAGAGCTCCTTACCGCCTTGGTACTTTCGGCTAAGGCTGAAAATAACAAGCATCTTCTCTTGGAAGATGTAGTGGCAACAAGGCAGCCAAGTAGTGGGCACGTCCTTCATCCAGCCCGTGGCCCCATGTATTGTGGTCCGTCAAAAAGTGTCATCTGCTTCAGGTCCGCATCGAGAACTCATCAGGACCGATGCAGGGCATGCTAGGTTCAGGCTTTCTCAAATACCTCGGCGCACCGAAGTAGTTTGGATGGTCTTCGTCTTGGGGCGCCCTTACCCAAATCCATTGACCCCTCCAGTCTTTTTTCGAGGTATCGTTCGGCCAGACCGATAGGTAGCCCTTCTCATCTTCAATTTGCCACCAGTCGGGGCCATGAAACCTGTTTACCTGGGTGTTCGAGACCAGTTTATGCATGCAGCGGAAGCAATGGACGCTAGGCGTAAATCCATAAAACAGGCACACCCAAAGATAAGTCATCACCCTTCAGATGCTCACGGGAGTCAGCTGACACAACAAGATGCTATACCCGTTCAGCACCGAAGTTATAAAGGAGTGAAATGGGAACTGCGTATTGCAGCTGGTGGGTGTAAACCCCAATGTAGCCAGGCAGGGGGCGATAAACCCTATAGTCTAAAGAGGGCATTTGGCACCAATACCCATCTTCCTCTAGAATTCCGTAGCAAATCTTAATTTATTCGGCAAAGTAGAACTCGGCGTCATTCTCAATCCACCATTTATAGGGCGGAGACAACATAATGTCGGCTTTTTCACGCTCATCCAGCCATTCCCTTTCCTCAAGGGTCAGCGGCCTTGATTCCAAAGCCGCACTTCGGCCAAAAGTACTGGCTTCTCCCAAGGCCCTGAGCGCCAAGGTGGTCAATGGGAGAGCCCTAATTGCAGAGCCGCTTGGAGCGGTGGAAGCATTAGTCCTAGCCCTAGGGTTCTGGTCGCTGAGGGGTGGCATCATCGCCAAGGGACAATTTTACCGCAAAGTCAATTGTGGAACCTCTTCTTCTTCCACAACACTCGGCTCAGCCTCTACCTTTTTCTTTCCACGATCGCCGGCCATTCTCGAAGGTGGTTGCGCAAAAAAGGGAAAAAGAAGGGGTACTTGAAAAACAAGAAAAATCGAACAAATTTCAAAGAAAATTACCTTGTTCAAATACGGAATTTGCCTATCTATACGTTCAGGGCAACGAATTTCAATTATTGGCTTCGGATAGCAAAATTCGAGCAAAAAGGGGAAAGAGTTTAATTGGGAAATTAGCGAAAACAAGAAAGGATTAGCGAAAATTGAAGTACGAAGAGAGAAAGGGACATGTGGTCTTTATACCTGCAAATTTGGGGATGCTCGAAGGTCGTGCCACGAAAAATCCCACTAACTCCACTTCATTGCTTCATCCATTCATCTTCCTCTCTAATTAACCGCCCACTAAACCCTCAATATTCCCTAATAACTACAAACAACCGTTATTGCCTCAATAACCACAAAATTCAAATGCTACCTAATCATTTGCTTCCCTCCATTTTGCAAGTCAAAGCCCAACTCGTCAAACTTCCGAATCGGGTATGGGGGCAAGTTGTTTGGGTCCAATTTATTCCAATTGGGCTGGTCCACAAATGATCCAATTATAAAGCCCAAAGAAGGTTCAACTCTCCTAAAGCATGTCAGGTCAGTCAAAGGCCCAGTTAACATGGCAAGCCCATTTGACTTCAAGGCCCAATCTTTCTATTTGAGCAAGGTATAAAAGCCTTGATTTCCCTCTCTTTACATTCATTCACTTTAAACCCGAAGCAATTAATTCTCTTGCATAGTTTTCTTTCTCTAGAAACACTTACTGACTTCGGCATCGGAGGGGTCTTCCTCGGCACAACCCCCGAGGCCAGTTTACGTATGTTTGCTGTGCAGGAAACCCTCGCCCCAGTCAGCACTTAGGCCAAGTCTAGTTTTCAGCCCAAAAGAAAGGTACAAACGAAGAACCCATTGTTTTAAACCAAAATAATACTTATTTCATTATTGTACACGTGTCAAATTCTAATAAAAATATTATCCCACTTAAACTATTTTTTACGTCATTTTTTATTTTATTTTCAATTTCTCGTTGTATGAGCAATCAATTCAATATAGTATTTTTTCAATGTTCTTATAAATATTGAATTGCTTTAAACACCTATTCCATTTATATGAATTATAAATTGTTAGTTTTAAAATTTGGTAAATTTGTCTATATAGATAAATATGACAAAGAGACTAAATGAGTAATACATTGCCCATATTCAATTAGGAGTATCTAGATGTATTGGACCAGTGACTTTCCCTCTAACTTCTGGGTAAGAATTAATAAGTGTGAGGTCGAAGTCTCATTTCATGCATGTAGATGGGAAAGGTTAGGGAAGAAATTGATTTGGGCTCGGATTTTCTTTTCGACCAAGCCCTTTCAAACAAAACTTTCAAAAGCGCTTTCAAGCCTTAGATGGAATGAACACTGATAATTTCTATCAAAGTTAAGATGAATAAAATAAAACTCAAATCGACTTAGCTCGGCTCAGCACATTTGCAACATTTACATATGCACATCCATATCAATTGTGACATGTTTTTGTCACTGCATAACACATTCCAAGTGCCCACTAGACAATGAGATGATGAATCAATCCATAAGAAACTCTAGCCACTGAATCACATAAACATTACAGGGGAAGTTTAGTTTTATCTTCCTCTTAATTATTATGCCCAAAATCACATCCACAATGTTGCTTATCTGATTAGAAATTTATGCTGTGGGACCTTTTATATGACCTACACTCCCTTTCTAGTAATCAATGCCAACGGTATCTAGGGTACTGCTGTTCTTTTTATTATACATTTGGGTCTTACTAGTTTCAGACTATTTGTGCATTTACTTAAACTTTTGACAATGATTTTCAATGACTACAACACATATGGAAATAGAATTCATTCACACAATCACAACCCATAACACATTATTAGTATTGAGACCTATACCCAACAGCAAAGGATAATTTGCCGGAGTAAAGTGCTAGAGACAACCCAATATAGATTAGTGACAATTTGGGTGAGAAGCGACTAAGATGCATGGGGTGTTGGCTAACCCTACATTAGAAACAAAAACTATAATAAAGTCTTTTTCTCTCTTAAATATGCTTGTATGAAGTAATTTATAGTCTCTAAATAACATAATATCAACACCCTGTTTTTAAAATTCTGGCTTTGCGACTAATCATTGTATTCTAAATCTAATAGAACAATCTTGCTGGAAAAAGTTATAAGAGTAAGTCTTGCATAAATACTACTTATACTAAAAAAAATGTCCGAAATTTTGCCAAATTTTCAAATTTAGTAAAATTTTCCATCCAATGAGGATTTTCTAATGTTCTGTTTTTTTCCTTGTCAACTTTAAATAAAAGTTTACGCGTTTTATTTTTCTAATTTAGTAAGAGTTTGTGAAATGACTTTGTTAAGTCATCCTTTTTAGGTTGAGTAGTGGAAAGAGTGCAAGAATAATACAACAATCATAAAGGAAATGTATTAAAATTGTGGCTGGTCTTCAATTATAAGATGTATGAGAAATGTAATTATTAATTCTATTGGAGTGAGGACAATGTAATAATGAGATTAAGACAACTTTTACAAACATTGTAACTTGTATATCGTAGATAATTTTAGGCGGATACAAGTCACTCTTGGTGATGTATAGGATAATAGTCGATACCCATCAATTAACTTACAAGTTGGGCTTTAATTCACACAATTCTGAGTAAACTTTAGTGAATGAAAAACTTGTTTGGTATTAAAAAAGGACCTCTCCTAGAAGACCCACTCCAAAATAAATTGACTACTGATGTATGAAGATGGCTACCACTATTGGAAATGTACAAAATAATGTTCAACGCGATATGAAGTAACTTAGGCCTTGAACGATGTACACATTTCTAGGTAGACTTGGGTGCATAATAGAAATGTTCGAGTTTTCACAACGGACCTCCCCGGCTCTCCAAGAGAAATTCACTTGAAACAAAAATGACAACTGATGTTAACCCGAAAATGAAAGAGGATGAAATAGGAACAGCAAGACAGACAATACGTGACAACCACCATGAGGAAGCACAGTAATAAACAAAGCTGGGGACTTGAAAGGGTCACAACTAATTCTTATGATTTATGATTTGCAAGTCCTTAACTAATATACCTGTTTCTTAGATTAAATAGCTTGGAAAATCATAGATTTACATTGACAATAACATGGAAAAGTGGACTAATATTATATGTTATATCAACCTTTATATATATATTCAACCAATAAAACCTACTTTGACCTTTTTAATGCTTAACCTATAATTAGCATATGATCTATTAAGCTTATCACGTCTATCATAAGCCAGCTCAGTACGTGATTTGTTTAATCATTCACAATCTGATTATTGAAATTTTCTTGCTTGCAAGAAAAAACATTTTCTTCCAATTTTTCAAAAATTTTGCCCAAAATTTGATGAAAATACAGAATAAGGAAGCTTACCACATTCACCTGAATCTCTGAAAGAAAAAAAAAATTACCTGAAATTCAAAAGTTAGAAGGCTTACTGTAAGGCGTTCTAGTTGCTGCATGGACGACAACACCTTCTCGTTAAGCGATGGGCAGTGAATTGTTAAGGTCATCATCAGGCAGGTCTCAGAAATGGCTCAGGAAGAAAGCCAAGAAATCCGAGCCGTCTAGCCCTGCTGAAGTTTCAGGTGTGAAACTGCAACTTTCCCTCTCTTACCCCCCTACCCTCCATTGAAAAGAAGTTTATCTTCTGCATATGTTCAATGCTGTTTTCATGTTGTGACTTTGATTGTAATCATCTTCAGAGTTATTGCTTCTGCATAATCTGCTATCGATAATGCTGAGTTTCTTGCAGATAGTGAACCTGAGGAATACCAGAGCCATAGTTTTGTCACATCTAGAGATATCAAATCGTCAGGATTAACCCATGAACTAAGGTAATTCATTCAGGCCATTTCATTTCATTGACCATCTATAACACTCTGTTTGTTAGACAGGTAATGGTAATGAACCATGTAATTACGAAAGGAAAGTCCAATACCAATGTCTACGTTCTTGTTTTGTAAAGAAATTGCATCATAATGAACATTGGGAGAGAACCTATCATCTAAAATAAGATGTTCTGTACAAAATTATTGCCATTATCAACATTCATTATCGCCTACCAAACAGTCCATAAATGTTATTTTTAGATTTTATCATTGTATTGGTGATGTGTGGTTGACATGTTTGGACCAGAGTTTTCGTGGGGACATGGAATGTCGGCGGAAAATCACCAGTAGGAAGCCTAGCTGCAGATTTGGATGAATGGCTAAATTTAAAGAACTCAGTGGACATATACGTTCTTGGGTAGGTAACATTTTGAAGCATATTGCATATCATGACCCAAACAGAAGTCCTGAATGATCAGAACTTGTTTCTACAGGTTTCAAGAGGTTGTCCCTCTTAAAACAATGACAGTAATTGGACTGGAAGATTATACAGACGCGAGAAAATGGAACCTGTTGATAGGAAAAACTCTCAACAACAAAGTTGGGTGTGTTTGGTTGACACCTACGATGAATTCTCCAATAATTAGTGATGATTACGAGTATGCCAAACCTTCGAATTCTAGAGGACAATCAAGATTTAGAAGGAGCACAACTCCGCAGAGAGAGAGAATGAAAACTCTACATGGCGGGGAGCAGGGTGGAAATCCTGCATATAAACTGATGGCCAGCAAGAAGATGGTAGGAATCTTCATCAGTGTATGGATGAAAAGGGATATTATAAGGAAGTATCGAGTTTCAAATGTGAAGGCGTTTCCAGTTGCTTGTGGTATAATGGGTTGTTTGGGAAACAAAGGTGCTGTCTCAGTCAGCATGTCAATAGATGGAACTAGTTTTTGCTTCATTACTGCTCATTTGGCTTCTGGCCAGAAGAAAGGGGATGAATTGCGAAGAAATCAACAAGTAGGGGAGATCTTTAAGCGAACAGCCTTCCCTCGACTTCCTCAAGAGTTTGATGATCCTCTTCCTCCCACCATAACCGGACACGAGTAAGCATACTATACTTCATCGCTCCCCCTTCACCTCCACCCCCCCCCCCCCTACCAAACAACAAGTATCCCATCATTCTTTCTTGGTGACAGAAGCACAATTTTGTGAAGTTTGTGCTTGGTTTGGTAGAAAACCTAGCCATAGAAAAAAACTTGAGATCTCACCAACAACAATCATAGGTCCCATGATAGTATGATACTTATAACATTATGGTTAAGGTCTTGCTATATGGTTCCTCGGAGACAGCAGTCACAAAACTATAGCATAACACCAATTTCATATAATTGTATGCATGCTCAATTTAGTTTGATGGTTATTAAAGTTCTGGAGTAATAGCATCTGCCTGAATTCAGTGTCTTGAATTATTCTGACTAGCCTAGCGGCTGGTGCTGAAAAAATCAAGAAAATAGGAAGATTTTACAGATATATATGCCAACATTAATCCCGGATGGAATTTTGGCACGAACAGGATGTACAGGCCCTACAAGGAGGCCAAGATGCTCAGAACCTAAGCTGAATGCATCAAGACTTAACAGTTAACACTAACAAAAAGAAAATTTCTAATAGAACAGTACTTGTACTTTTCTTAAAGGCATAGTACCACAAGTAAAAACCATGACTTATGAGTCATATATACTGCGCGATTTTTGTCATTTCTGCTCTAATAGTACTGTGTAAGTTGTGAAACAGCCGAATATTTTGGTTTGGAGACCTGAACTACCGACTATGCATGGATGATGACAAGGCCAGGGAGTTGATAAGGAAGAAGAAGTGGAAAGAACTGCAGAAGTTTGACCAGCTTAAGAAGGAACAACAACGAGGAGTATTCCAAGGATGGAAAGAAGGAGATATTGAGTTTGCACCAACATACAAGTACTCTGTAGAGCTTGGCAATCGATACACAGGAGATAAGCATGCCCCCTTCAATCCAAATACAGGAGAAAAGAGAAGAACCCCAGCATGGTATAGTCATAGTTCAGTAAAATTTATTAATTGATGTTTAGTGCTTACCAGTATGAATGATATAATATGATTAATGTCACGGAATACTGCATGTAGCAATGGACCTTATCTAAGGCTTGCGAGTTATGAGTAATCTTATAGGGACTATATAGACATCAGAAGCTTTAGATAAATATACACTAAGACCTCAATTAATTTGAAAATTTTACAGTATTTGTTTGAAATATGATTAGCATAATGTTTTAATGATTATATAGTTCATAATTGACATATTTTCTCCAAGTAATAAGTTATATTACTTTATTAATGGTATTAAATAGTATTATCAATATGTTTTTTATTTATCAAATTTTTAGTTTCATTTATGTAACTTTTATTCTTATTTTATAGTTTCTCAAAAAATATTTATTTTATGTTGGATTAAAATTTTCAAAATTTATATTTACATTGTAGATATTATAAGACTAATTGTGGCCATTTTATAACGTGAAAAAATGAAGCGATCATATTATACATCATTTAAATAATATGGTAGTCATTTTTCAAATGACCGCTGTAAAATCATCCCAATTAATTTGAATATGAACCAAGGAGAATTGATGTGATTTCAGGTGTGACAGGATTATGTGGTTCGGGAAAGGGATACAACAACTTAATTATGTTCGTGGAGAAAGTAAATTCTCTGACCATAGGCCTGTCTCTGCCCTTTTCACCACAGAAGTAGATGTCCTGGGACCTGCAAATTCCAAGACGGTTGCACTAAGCAAGTTTCTTACTTCAATGAATCTATCTAGATTTGATACACCTCAAGTAAGTATCAAAAAGTGAAACATATATTCATTACCTGATGTAGCAATTAAAAGGCTGTGCAGGGGAGTTATTCTTGAAGGTTTTTCGTCTAAGGGTCAATCTATGAAATCACTAATCATCTTTACTGATGTTTGACCAGATTCAATCAGTTTATAAATTATGAAATATTAAATAATCTCACTAATGCTAAATTCGTTCTATTTTTACAGGGCCAATCCACCACCTCTAAACGTACGTTATTATCACTGATCAAGGCAGAAACAGAAGAATCAGCAAGTGAGACTCTAGATAATACTCAAAATAGATCATAGCATTAAGCTGGTGTTTCATATGGCACATTGCTACAGCTTACCAGGGTTCTATAGGTGAAAATAACTACCATACATCCCTCTTCCATATCAATATTCATGTTTATAGCCCCATACAATTTTTCATTCTTTCATCTTCTCTTCCTAAGCACCATCTAGGTAATGGAAGTGAAGAGGGGATGCTTGGACATCGGTTGTAATTTTACTCTGCTTTTCCCCTCTTGTTCTTTTAGCAGAAGATAAAAACACAAAGTTCACAAAACAATGTGACAAAAGCCATTCATGCAAAACTGAGGGGAAAAGGCATCAGAGTTTTGTGTATTCCTACATTGATCATTTGCACACAAGTGCTTGCGAAAAAAAGAAGATACGAAATGAAGTAACAAACAGGCTGCTCTACAGTGTACAGATGCAACTTTTCTCACTTCTTTACAACATCATATCTTATTTGTATATCCAACTCATGGGAAATTAAATGGTTTGCACATTCAATGTATCTCAAAATCTGTAACTTAGACTATTATGGAATGATTTACGTTAATCAATTATCAACATGAATAAAGGGCAAAACCAAATTCAATGCTTACAGGAAATCAACTTAGCTCCATTGCCTGAAGTAGTTACGCCAAGGCCTCTGAGTTATCAAGATGACAAGTAGGACAAATACACTTCCTTTGCAACTCCTCTCTGAAGAGAGCACATTTCTCCTCCATATTAGAAGTCTGCTTGTATCCAGTCAAAGAGAACATGACATTGTATAGATATTTTAAGCAAAAGTTTATACAGATACATAGTAATAAAAGAATTATAAGATTATCAGGAAATCAACTTTTCAACAAGTATCTTAGCGTAAGTGAAATTTTTTTTACAGTCTGTCAACAAGTTATTTATTCCGTGTAGAAATAGCCATTGAGATCTAGAATAATTACACAAACCAATGCATGCAAACATTGTATGCATCTCTACACCTGAACCCCCCACCCCCTCTTTTAAAAGAATAATTCTGAATTTCATAATGAAAATATAAATGATGTATGCTATTATGAAAATAGAAATGTTGGCAATGCATTTTAATTTTATGGACCAACCAGAAGTGTGGATATTTGAGTAGCTAGCAATGAATTCCAGTGCAGATATTATGGGAAAAGACGTAGCAGATCCTTCTAAACTTAACAAATGACTATCCTTTTTGTTGTCTATTGTATGACTGATTGACTGCTTTTATAAATAACATGGAAATAATACAGTCAATAAGGATATTTTGTTAAGTTCTGTAACTCCTTGATGTCCTTCATAATTGTCTCAATCAGCTCCAGTCTCTTTCTTAAGTCAACCACATCTTGCTGCAGCTGCAGAGTTCCAGAAGCACACTATCAATCAGTCACAGAAACTTCCAGATAAGATATTATATAACACTGACAAATATTGTGGTTTAGCTTGGAGACATCCTAATTACAGTAAAATGACAAGTTTGCAATGAGATTTAAGTTCTAGCAGACATCTCCAATAGTCCAATGTATGAGATGTACCTGCTTATGTAGATTCTGTTCCCTTTCACGTTCTTCATTTTCTGTTGCAGTCTGAGCAACCATGAAAGAGACCTTAGTCTCAAGATTAATCACTTCTGCATCTCCACTGTCTACATGATCACATTCTTTCAGTAAATGCAAAGTACTCTACCTCGCTGGGCAGGGTTGAGTCAAATAAAACCGCAATGCATACAAGGAAATTCAAGCAAATTTTGTTCCCTTATTTTTACTTACCAACTTGAAAGGAAATACAAGAGCACATTTTAGTTAATATACCCATGTAGGCAAACAGGAAATGGACCTCATAGAGGACTGATTCAAGATATACTTCTCAGAGGCATCATATAATTTGAAAAGTCACACAAGGAGTCTCTATCAAGGATTCCAGTCGGCTTATTCACAAACAAATCATTCAAGCATAATGCTGTGACATGATCCCATGACAGCATAGTATATTTCTTCTCATTCATGTATTTAGGCCTAATAAAAACCAACTGATGAAGATATAGCAACAAAGTCGAAAAAATCTTCAGCCTCCTGAACTAGGAAATTTTTTAAAAAACCACAAGTAGTCAATCAATGCTTAATGAATTAAATGAAAAACAAATGTTATCAATCTCAGGACTATTTCAATGAAAGGCCAAGCCCAAAAAAAAAAAAAAAAAAAAAAAAGCCAATTTGACTTCATTGCCCAACGTTCATGTAGTCCATTTAGGGTGGTGGTGATGTTGATGTGCGGTTAGTTCTTATCCCAAATACATATTCCAAGCCAACTTTGTTTATAAGATTTGAGAAGACTAAGTGCAAGCAAGCTCATGGTACCCCAATGCTATAAGCTTACAATGCATTTGGCCCAATGTTAGCAAGACCAGGCACATCTAATTTTCCCACTTTGGCATAGGAAAAATTACATAAATTAGTTGACCGCAAATGACCAAAAATATGAGTCATTTTGCCAAAGCTGCCATACCAGCCCCAAGGCACATGACCCTGTATCCTGATGAGATACAAGTTTACTTGTTGCTCCAAGTAATATTTATCACGGTAATAACATGCAACAAGTGGTTAGGCTGGGAAATGTAGCCAGCACACTAATTGAGTTAGTGAAAAATGGTCTTCAAAAGGTAAATAGCTTTTGGATCCTTTTTCCAAAAAGACTTAGCAACCAATTATATGAGTTTTGATTATATGATCACATTTGGCATCTCCTCATTTTATGGAAAAATACAATTTAGTTAATAGCTCCTAAGTCAATTCTACATGCCACAATTGAAATCTGCTCTTAGAGAGCATGATCAGAACTAATGACACAATTTTCTTGTATGGAAACCATAAAACATCAACCTAATGCCTTTATATATGCTCCCAAGTCCCAATCAGGGCAGGATAAACCAACTACCTGACAAGAAGCTCAAGCAACTAACTAGTCCAACAAAATTAAAGCAACATTTTAGTGAACTTAGTCACTAGAGAACAACCAACACCGATTGCATGCACCAGACTCAAAGAGTAATTTTGATATGCTAGAGCCAATAAACTGTCATGTACATTGGAACTGAAGTCTGATCCATGAGCTTCATCGTCAGTAAGTTAAATAAGTCATAGGACACTGAAAAATCACCTGATGAAGTTCTCGGGCAACTAGTTTGCTGCTTTTTGGGACAGGATAAATCCTGAAATTTTCTGCAGTAGGTATATCACATTGTCATATGCAAATTACAAATTCGATAACCTCGAATAAGAACACTTTGTCATGAAACAAAATTACGGTTTGCTAATCATCAATCTCTTCTGCTAACATATTTTTACTACTTGTATGAATATTTAGTGATATGCACTGATTTAAAGACTTGTATATGCAAGACAAACCTTATCTCAGTCTTGAAGTTGAGCATTTGACCGATAAATTCATCTCTATAAAACAATAGCAAATTCATAAGAATAATTAATTATCAGAAGAAATTAATTCCAGAAATGTAGCAAATTCATTGATTAAGATCATTTCCAAAAGATATTGAACAAAAATAATTGATCAAAAAGCTGAAAGGTGAATAGTACCTAAGTGCTGCTTCTTCATTCTTCGCAACGATTTCCACAGCGAAGTTCACATACATTCAACATCATCAAAATCAGAAAATTGACGAAAATTTCAAATTTCATCCAAAAAATCGTCAACAAATTACCTTAAGAACATCAACATCAGATCCTACTTTCGAAATTTCATCCTGAATCGAAACAATTCTTGCCTAAAAAATCAAATAAACACATAACGAGATTCAAATTCACAAAATCAAATAAAATCGCTTAGAAAAAGTAATAATTTCAAAAATACTTATAATCGGGAGATAGAATAGACCTCTAGGGTTTGCTTTGAAGCTTCATTCATCGAAAATTCGACCTCGAAACCTTTGAGCTCTTGATCGGCTGTTTGCTTGAATCTCTTTCCATTTTCAAGCTCTGCATTTGCTGAATTCAGCTCTGATTCAAGCTCCTCGATACGCTTCTTCAAGCTGAAGACTCTTCTCTCTGCGAAACAAATTGAAATCGAGTTTTTAGAAGAAAAATTGGTCAAATCACGAACAATCAGAGCAGAGAGAGAGATAAACCTCCATGAGATTTCTCAGCAGCAAAATCGCGAATCAAAGTAAGCAGTTGTTTCTGAGAATCAGTTGCCGCCATTGTTGCGAGCTTGCTTCTTTGCTTCCACTGGATTTGTGTTTGGCGCTTCTTTTATCGTTTTGAATGCTATTTACGTAGTATATCCTTTTTACGTAATGTTTGAACTTTGAATTAAACTAGAACTAAGGATATTTCCCGTTGACTACATGTTTTTCCCCTTCATTAAGACTTCTTTCCTTAAGTAGAAAGCTATGATTCTTTTGCTTATGGTTAATAAAGTAGAATAGATTAATTAGACGCTATAAAGGAGGCTAATATAAAACGGTATCACTGTATCAGGACAATAAGAACTTAGAAAATTAAGTAGCCCGTTAGACATTACACATAAACAAAAGAGATTCAAATAACAAGTTAATTAGATTGCCCACGCTAGAGATAGTATTACTAGGATAGGGGTTGGTTGCCAAATTCCACAACACTTCACTTCCTCCATGCACATGTCTGGCTTTCTGTGTCAGGAGACGAGCATGCTCCACCATCTCTCTTGGGAGAGACGGAATGTTCTTCATCTCAATCATTGGAATGAAATCCGTGCAAACAGATGACATGTTAGTAATATTGAATCTGAAAGATAGTCAGATCCCTCCATTGTTTTGATCTTGTCAATGCTGCAGCCAAGAGATTTAGCAAAAGCTTGCATCTTTGACAGTGGACTTCAGCAGGAAACCCTCTTCCCACTCCATACAAGAAGTGTAGCAAATACCTCAAATGCCCACCTCCAGGTTATTAGGATTGAAGGAAGCACCCATTCATTGATATGAGATACAGTAGTTTAATTAATAAGGGGAAATGAGTTTTGCATACGAGTCAATTGGAAGGGGCAGATGTTGAGCATAAAACAATTCAGCACAAAGCCATTTGATTGACTTGAGGACATATGCCACATGGGTGTTCATCTGTGACAAAACCTAGGAGTCTCTCTTTTTAGACATCGTCTATTATTCTCCCCGTTTTAAAATAATTAACACACAATCACACTTAGTAAACATGTCAATAATGTACGTTCTAATCTAACCTTAAATACATACCCTCTATTTCATAATATTCACAATACTTTTCTTTTTCATCTGTTTCATAATAATTACAAACTTTCCTTTTTCATTTGTTTTGTAATTTTTGCATCACTTCTTTATTTGATAATGAGCCACAACTATTTTATTATTTCTCTCTCCTACCAACCCCACTTACTCAATTTTTTTTTAACTCTCTCATATTATTTTTATCTCACAAATAATAATCCAATGTTGCAGATAAAAATAATCAGTAGTATTATTATTTCTTCTCTTACAAACAATTAAATATATTCGCAGAAATTTTACTATACATTATACTACTATAAAATTCCTTCTTTGGTACCCACCCTAAATTCCTAAAACTTTGTGTCCTCCTTACTATTATTGCTATTATTACGAAACGGAGGGAGCATATAATTAAATATTAGTAAAAAAATATATAAGATAAATTCATATTATTAAAATTAATATTACTACTTGTATTTAATAACATATTTCATGATAAAGATGTTTTTAATGTGTAACAAAAACTAGGTTAGTTCCCGTGCCATGCCCGGTAATTTTCAATAACTATTATTAAAATATTATTATAATTAGTTTTTTATAAACAAAAAAATTTAAAAATATAGTTGACAAATTTCAATCAAAATAAAGGATTACGAAAGATATGTTAGATATAAAATGACGTAGAAAATTATCAAAATTATGTTAAGAATATTTTTTATACTTCGTAGCTATAAAAATATTTGTATTAAAGATATGTCAAATCTTTTTCATTTTAAGTAATTATATTTTATAAGATTAGAAACTATTTTAGTATAAGATTTATTTTTTTTATAGAATTTTATTCAAAAAACAAAAAAAAAACTAAACTAAGGATACATCAAAATATGACACATGTCATTGCTGGTGTATCTTTTAGTATTAAAGATTAAAGATATGTCAAATATTTTTTATTTTAAGTAATTATATTTTATAAGATTAGAAACTATTTTAGTATAAGATTTGTTTTTTTAATAGAATTATATTCAAAAAAAAAAAAAAAAAAAAAAAAAAAAAAAACTAAACTAAGGACACACCAGAAGATGACACATGTCATTGCTAGTGTGTCTTTTAGTATATAGTTATTATAGTTATGATTATTGATGTAAAATTATTTCAATCTCCTAAGATTAATTAATAGGTGATTTTAGTTGTAATGTAGAAGCTTCCAACATTTAAATTTCAAAAATGTTAAATAAGATAGCTCAAAAAAAAAAAGATGACATCATCCTTGCATTTAGGCAAGAATTTTTTTATTAATAGAGCAACATATAGGCATTAGTGACGTCAGCATACTCTGTTTTAGTAATACTTAATAGACATTATGGCAAAGTTAATATGTAAATAGTAAAGAAAGGTCAAATGTGTGGAATACATTGATAGATTATTACTAGATTAACTCCCGTGCGATGCACAAATATAATGAAAGAATTTACAATTGTGTAAACTTTAAAGACATATCTGTCAAAATATGAAAATCTTTGTATTACATACGATATTATTAACATTATATTGCATAAACCAAACTACAAAAATTAAAATAATATAAACAAAAGAAAAGTCACGTCTACAATAAAATTTAGCGAACTTTGTAATTAGATAGAGTAAGCACATATTGACATATATAAAAGGTTGATATTTGTTTTCCTTAAGTTTTTAAAAAGTTTTTTACAAGAAAAATTTATGAAAACAAAAAAGTTTAATGTACTATATTAAACTACTTTTGAAAAAAAAAATGTTTAGGCAGGAAAGAAATAAAGGAAAAGCTAACACGTATACAATTTGAAAAAAGTGATAATGTCTGCGGTTGTTACTTTAATAATATTTATAGATATTTTATTGTTCCCCTCTCCTCACATGGTCCCCAATTCTCTGTTTTTTCAAATAACAGGCTCTTAGATACTTCTATAGTAACAAGTCTAACAAAGTAACAATCTCGCGTTTAGCGCGCTTTCTGTAATAATATGATTAAAATAAAAGAGACCGGTTTTATAAATTATTGTTCTCTTAGGTACTGTTAAACAATCTTGCACATTTGTAGATTGAAAAAAAAAGACCGCTTTTTGTGGATAACTTGTCTCTTAAGTTATCTCTTTTGATTTGATTTTAAAACAATAACTTCTTTGTTTTTCTTCGTAAATCTTTTTTTCTAAAGAAATCCTATATGCTTATTCACCTGACAATAATTTTCTTTGCTTTTTGTAATTTTTTCACCCAAATTTATATCAAATCTTTAAAAATGAAAAACTTTGGTATTTTTCATTGTTTATTTTCTTGTATATACTCGTGTGTTATGCGGAGTATTATGAAAATGTATCAAAGTAAGTGTATGTAATTAGTTATACTTAATTCAATTATATTACAAGTATATTTTAGTGTATATGTGTGGTCGTAGCCAGGGGCGGAGCTAGAAGGGGACGAGTGGGGACACTTGTCCCCCCATTTTCAAAAAAAAAAATTAAAAAAAAAATTAAAAAAAAAACAAAAAACGCTATTACAGAGTGCTCTGTGCGACATTTGCAGCCAAACCCTAAGTCTTTCAATTTTTAATTTCTCTCTCTTCGATTCGCCCTCACCTCGCCAGAGTCGGCTGACGCTGTCCACCGTTCTTCGGTAGTTCGCAGCAGTGAGGCCAATGACGAGGTTCGACAGACGACAACGGACAACCTTCAATTCGTGTGAATCGTGTCTTCGTGAGTTCGTGTTTGCTGTTTGCAGCAGCAGCCGAGCAGCCCAGCACCGCGCCACCGCAGCACAGCCAGCAGTTTGGACGTTTGGTGTTCAAGTGTAAAGTGTTTGCAGCAGCAGTTCGCAAGTCGGCAACTTCGCATTTACAGATTTACTGTAAGGAGTAAATCTGAATTTCAATGGAGGTATGATTAATTGATTATGTAATTATGTAAATCTGAATTAAGTGAATTTCATTACTTGTTTAAATGTTTAATTGTTTTATAATTTATATTTTTATTGTGAATTTGTCATTTGTGGCCTTGTGGGTATTGATTATTGATTTATATTTGTTTGATTGTTTGAATGTTTCCCCTGTTTGAGTGTTTGGCTGTTTTTGTGAAATGTGAATTTAAATTATTAATTATTGTAAATTATTGAAATGTGTAGTTGAATTAGAAATTTAAAATCTTAGGTTTTGTTATTATGTAATGATGTGGATTGTGGTCTTGTGGAAATTGATATATAATTTTCAATTTAACTAGGAAATATCAAAAGATTCACCAAATTCAAACAAATCCAAGGCAACTAAACAACCCGATCTTCGACAATTCTTGTTTAAAAGAACGAGACTCAATGAAAATGAGTCCAATAACTCACCTTCAGTTAGCTCCCCTCAAAGTCAAGAAATTAGTATGGAAATGGGTGGTTCAAGTAATAGTAATGTACCATTAGAGGAAGATTTGGTGTATGATGTTGAACTTCTTCCTCATGATCCGGGAAAAAGAATAAACATTATGGATTACCCCGCAAATGAACGAAATGCTGTTAGGAGGGGTTATATTCTTAAAAAACCTTGCCAACCAAAAACTCATGACTTCCCTACAAGACAAGTGTCTGGTTTGCGTCGCTTTAGTGTTCATTGGTTCAACAAATGGGATTGGCTTGAATATAGTATTGAAAAAGATGCTGCATTTTGTTTTGTATGTTACTTGTTCAAGAATGAAGTTGCGAAATAGCATGGGTGATCAACTTATGAATGATTGTTTGGTCACTTTTATTGAGAAGGATGTCTTCTTACGAGTTTCCGACAAAAAAATTATTGATCGATTTCAAAGTATGAAGACTCGAAGAATGAACTTGTAATTTTAATGTAATGTTTATGTAAATTTTTTCATTATTTTGAATTGTATGACTAAGTATTTATTTGTATTTTGAAATTTTAATATTAAGTATTAACCAATTTGTGTGTGAGTTTTTTTTTTGTTAAACTTTTCGTAAGTTAAGCATTTTGTCCCCCCAAGTTGAAAATCCTGGCTCCGCCACTGGTCGTAGCTTAAAATTATAAATTGCATGGCTAAAATCTTTATTTAAGTGTAACCTTTAATTTATATAATTGGTTTATTTGTTTTGTCAATTATAGACAAATTTAGGGGTGGAGTACACGCAATGACGAATAAGAGTAAGAGCGGAATTAATAATTAATTGAAAGTCTAGTATGGCAAATTTCGTGTTTTATAATTTTTTTTAACAAGCCTAATTCCGTACCCCCATGCCGAAATTTCTAGATCCACCACTATGTGACAGTGAGGTGAAATGATAAGGGATCCTCATCCTCAAATCAAGTGAAAATTGAACTCTCAACCCCAAGGTTCGAAGATACAATTTTTACCAGTAGACCAATCTTAATTTGGTCTCTACATGACAAATTGGTATCGTATAGGGAGCTTTAGTTTGGTCTCTACATGACAAATTGGTATCGTATAGGGAGCTTGTATCTATTCTTTCATATCTTTATACTCATTGGATCCGTACAGAATCCATGAATGAAACCTTTTTTCCTTGTAGAAAAAGAAAAAGGGTAATGATAATTAAAGTTCATTGCTCTATAGATCCTACTTACTACTTAGAGCACTATCAATGGTGAGCTAAAAATTTGCTCACGAGCATTTTGGGTGGGCATAAAATTTGCTCATGCATTACAATGGTGAGCAAATGAGAAAAAGCCAAAAAATGCTCATGAGCATTTCTGAAAATGCCCAAGATTTGAGCATTTTTGAAGATGAATAGTGCTCTAGTGGGCCCCACAATTTGCAATGGTTATATTTTTTGTAATGCAAATTCTGAAATAAATATTTATTAAAAAATAAAATAAAATTATCAACGGTCATAAAATTTAATTCTCTATAAATAGACATGCATTTTGGTATAATTTCAGAAATATCATAAATCCTTCATATTCTTTATTGTAACGATAAAAACGACACAAATAAAAAAAAATTTACACAAATTTAGACTAGTTTTTATCTATTTGGAGTAATATTGTTAATATATAATTGAAATTAATAAATAAAGAAGTGTTGTGTAGGAGAGAGAAAGTAATGGTGGGGTATTGAAAAAGTAAGAGAGAAAGAGTAGTGGACAAGCATTTTTTTTGCTCACCATTGGGAGAGAAATTGTGAAAAAAATTTGCCCATGAGCAAAACAGATTTGTTGAGAGAGAAAGTGGGTAGAAAGATAGTGGGTGGGCATTTTTTTTGCTCACCATTGAGAGTGGTCTTAGTAGCTTGGAGACTAAGGAAATAAAGTGCTTTGAAAATTCTCTCTCTTTATGCAAACTAGTCACACTATTGTTATGAATGCGTACTGGTCGCATCACTTAATAACACGACTAATTAGTACCTCGTAATTAACACTTGAAACAACCACCAAATAACCCCTCTCCTGTCAAAAAATAAATAATAATAATGTGATAACTCTATAAAGTATTTCAATAAAAACTTGTATCTTAATTCTCGAGTGTGGATTGAAACGTAAACGATAACATATGAAGTAATGACAATATAGCTATTAACTATTATTAAAACAAAACGTTGTTGACGTAATCACTGTTCACATGTCACTCTCGTAATAAAAATTTTCCCGTCTAAATGCAAAGATGATGTCATCTTCTTTTTTTTTTTTTTTTTTTTTTGTAGAGCTACCATATTTAACAATTTTGAAATTTGAATATTACAATCTTCTACATTACAACTACTAACCTATCAATTTATTAAAAAAAAATAAATGAAACAATAGTAAATAGCTTACTAATAAATGAACTCTTACATTGAAATATGGATTAGCCGATGTTGAACAGGTATTATATCATAAATTCATAAAAATCTAAAATTTTAAAATTACAAATATTTTTGGACAAAATGCATAATTCTTATTTACATTTATCCATATTTTTTAAGATGTATTAAAACATATAATATAAATTATCATTGCTATCTCAATTTTTTCTACATTTATGTGAAAAATATGTCAATTAAGAAATTCATAATCATTAAAACAATATGATAGTCATAATTCAACCGACCTCTATAAAATTATGTAAAGTTCACGAATTTTTTTTTTTTTCAAAATTATCGTATAAAAGGCTTATTATATGAACAACTACCCAATTTTTTTTGTAAACAACTACCTTAGAAAAGCAAAAATTTGAAGTAATTCGTGTAATTCAAATTAAGCAATGTAGTGGATTTAGGATTTTTAATATTCTTAAATTATCATAATTAGGGTTTCATAGGGTTTAGGATTTCAATAAAATTAGAGATTTTGTGTTTTAGGGCTTTAGTGTTTCAATTCAATGGTTTTAAATACATGGGGTTTCAATTAAATTAAGGGTTTTATATTCAATTATCATAATTAGGGATTCAATTGAGGGTAAAAGGGTAATTGAGTTGTTAAATACTAAAAAAAAGGAAAAAAAAATGAGCAGTAAGTTTCAATTCGCTTTGGTTAGAGGAAGTTGGTCAAAGGCGTTCTGGGTTTTTTGGATATCCTGCAGGAGAGTTACAACATTGAATATAGCCTGCCGGATGCGCTACACCTAGTCACCTATAAAACAACGAAAGCTCCGGTGAATTGGAATTTCGCCTCCGACGGTAAAGTTAGTACCAGAATGAAAGTTGCAATAACTGAAAGGTAAGATATCAGAGTAATTTTCTCTGTTTTTCGTGTGAATGTAATAATTGTGTATTATTGAATATATATATATATATATATATATATATATATATATATGCTCCCCACTGTTCATTTATGAGCAGTATGTATAGTGTGTGAGGTGCGTGCCAATTAGGTCATTTTAACCTAAATAGTTGGCTACACTGCCGTTTTTACGGCTTCTCGTGAGTTGAGCCTGAAGGCTAATTTACTCTGATGCTAATTGGTGCCACATGTCATGTCCTGGTTGGCTCTTTGAGCGTTGGCCTAGGGAACACGCGCGTGTCACTGAATTACTGGTCCACATCTATACTATATACTAAAGTAATCACCGGAGTTATCCCACAAGTACACGTGTCACATCCACAACAAAAAATTTACCGCCAAATTTGTTTGTTTTTTTTCTTTTATTTCCTTAAAAAATTAATGAATAAATTACATTAATTTATAAAAATATTTTAATTTATATATCTAACACGAGTATTTTAAGGGAAGACCTAAAATAAATTCAAATTAAAAAAATTATATAAGTAATTTAATTTAAATTAACTTCATTTTAATTAACTATATAGTATGTACAAATCTTATTATTATGAATCCATGCATTGCACGGGGTAAAAATTAGTGTCTAGGATATTTTTACCCTAAACAAAAGGTGAAAGAAAATAGAGGGAAAATAGAGGGAAATAAAATAAGAAAATAGTGGGGAACAAAAATGTGGGCCCACAAATGGTAAATGTAGATGAAATTTGTTAAAGGGAAGTTTTTGTATTTATGACAGGTTCTTTTTTACAAAATTAAAAAATTCTGGTAGTTGCTCCCAAAAATATCCTTTATTTTAAGGAAAAATTTATGGGAATAATCCCACCTTTGGGTCATTCATTTTTAATAATCTCACCTTTGAGTTATTTTTTAATAATCCGACCTTTACCCCCCATTCTTTTTTATTGGTCACAACCGGTCATGTAACCTGTTATAAAAGGTTGCATGACACGTGGCGACCTGTGATTGGCCAAAAATAAAAATAAAAATAAAACAAAAAAAAACCAAAAAAAAAAATAACAAAAAAAAAATAAAACAAAAATCAGCCAGCCACCATGGAGGCAGGGAGCCAACCCAGCCACCAACCAGCCCCCTCTTCACTCACGCACCACCCTAACTTACCCTCAACCTCCACCATCACTCACCGCCCAAACTCGAATCAACAACAGCAGCCCAGCAGCTCGCCACTGCTGCACCTGCTCGTCACCCTGAAGCACCACACCACCACCAATCGCACCCTCATCACCTCCCATTTCTCCACCCATTCACAGCAGCAAAACCGCAGTTAAGCACCACCATTTTGGCACACAAACAGCCTCGCAATTGGCAATTACATCTGTTTGGGTCCAATTTAGTCAAAATTGGGCCTAAGCACTAAATGATCCAATTAAAAGCCCAAGGTCAAGGTTCAACCCTCCAATTGCACAAAAGTCAAAGGTCAGCCCACAAAGCATGCCAATTGGGCTAAGGCCCAACCTCACCATGTATGATGAGGTATAAAAGCCATCATATTGACACATTCATAGATTGACGTTCATATTGATATTCTGATTGATATGCTCATTCTTGCATTCAGAAGTATTCCACAAAAGCCTCAAGCTACAAACTCTCTTGCATAGTACCTTCCTTTTACACATTGTATTGACTTTAGCATCGGAGGGGCCTTCCTCGGAAACACCCCCGAGGCTAGTTTACGTGTGTTTACTGTGCAGGAAACCTTCGGCCCAACACAACTTGGACCGAATCCAGTCTTCTCCATTTCAACGGACCTTCGGCAAGGTCCCATTGTTTTCACCCGAAACAATTTGGCGCCGTCTGTGGGGAAGACTTTCAAAAATCTTTAAGCCAAATTCCTAACCAAGATCATCTTGCAATTATCTTAGCAGCCATGGCTAAGAACCGCAAGAGCAAAAGCCTCCGTCAAGGAGCGGGCGAAAAGCCTAAAACCCCTACACCATCGCCCTCGCCGGACCGGAACTCTCCC